GTTATTCCATTCCATATTTTCTTTATTCCATTCTGTTCTGTTCCATTTTTCTCTACTGTTCTGTTCTATTCCTATTCTATTACATTCCATTCCATATTTTCTTTATTCCATTCTGTTCTGTTCCATTTTTCTCTACTGTTCTGTTCTATTCCTATTCTATTACATTCCATTCCATATTTTCTTTATTCTATTCTCTTCTGTTCCGTTCCATTTTTCTCTATTCTGTTCTGTTCTGTTCTATTCCTATTCTATTCTATTCCATTCCATATTTTCTTTATTCCATTCTGTTCTGTTCCATTTTTCTCTACTGTTCTGTTCTATTCCTATTCTATTACATTCCATTCCATATTTTCTTTATTCTATTCTCTTCTGTTCCGTTCCATTTTTCTCTATTCTGTTCTGTTCTGTTCCTATTCTATTACATTCCATTCCATATTTTCTTTATTCTATTCTCTTCTGTTCCGTTCCATTTTTCTCTATTCTGTTCTGTTCTGTTCCTATTCTATTCCATTCCATTCCATATTTTCTTTATTCTATTCTCTTCTGTTCCGTTCCATTTTTCTCTATTCTGTTCTGTTCTGTTCTATTCCTATTCTATTCTATTCCATTCCATATTTTCTTTATTCCATTCTGTTCTATTCCGTTTCGTTCCATTTTTCTCTGTTCTATTGTATTGTATTGTATTGTATTCCATTCCATATTTTCTTTATTCCATTCTGTTCTGTTCCGTTCCATTTTTCTCTATTCTGTTCGGTTCTATTCCTATTCTATTCCATTCCATTCCATATTTTCTTTATTCTATTCTCTTCTGTTCCGTTCCATTTTTCTCTATTCTGTTCTATTCTGTTCTATTCTATTCTATTCCATTCTACTCCATATTTTCTTTATTCCATTCTGTTCTATTCCGTTTCATTCCATTTTTCTCTGTTCTATTGTATTGTATTCCATTCCATATTTTCTTTATTCTATTCTGTTCTGTTCCGTTCCATTTTTCTCTATTCTGTTGTTCTATTCTATTCCATATTTTCTTTATTCCATTCTGTTCTATTCCGCTCCGTTCCATTTTTCTGTTCTATTGTATTGTATTCCATTCCATTCCATATTTTCTTTATTCTATTCTGTTCCGTTCCATTCCATTTTTTCTGTTCTATTCTATCCCATTCTATTCCATTCCAATCCAATCCATATTTTCTTTATGCTATTCCGTTCTGTTCCATTTTCTCCTACTCTACTCTACTCTACTCTACCCTACCCTAAAAAGTCACATGACCATTTTTCACGTAACCATTGCAGCATCCTCAGGATCACGTGATCAAAATTCAGCCGCTGGGCAACTGGGTTCATATTTATGACTTTTGCAACGTCCTGGGATTTTATGTGATTTCCCCTTTTGCGACCTTCTGACCAACAAAGGAAACGGGGAAGCCAGAATTCACTTAACCACCGTGCTACTAATTTAACCTTGCAGCGATTCACTTAATAGCTGTGTCAAGGAAGGTCGTAAAACGGGACAAGACTTACCGAACGACTGTCACGCTCAGCAACCTAAAACGTGCGGCTCAATTGTGGTGTAAGTTGAGGACAACCTGCATTGCCCTCTCCGTTCCCAAAACAATGTCTTCCGTGTCAGCAATTTTGCCTCCCTCCAAAGAAAACTCCCTTTTGGGAAGGTTGGGCAAGAACAACATATCCTTTTGAGAGGTAAGGGGGAAAAAACACCNTACCCATCTGTCTATCCACTTACCCATCTCTCTAAATACGATTACAATCCCAATTTTGTACTTATATAAAGATAATGACTACTAGCCATTTCTTAATCTTCAGAGCCCAAAGATCACCCCGATTTCTTAGCAACCAGAATCCATCCACATTCCCCCCCTCCCTCCGTATTGCTTCCCCACCTTGCCAGCCGGCCTGCTCTCTTTCCCAAAGGGGTCCAAACCTCTGCTTATCTCCCAGTGCGGTTCTGGTTCCCTTGGTGACCCACGCAGGAAAGTAGGCTAAGCACAGAAGGAGGCAGCTGCATAAATCGGTGCAAAGTCTATGGAACATGATGGGATGCGCTTCTGAGCAAATATGAATCAAATAGAGCCGTGACTCTCCTCCCCAGCCCCCCTTGTGCTCTCCGGGGACTGGATGAGTCCCCATCAGGAAAGGAAGCCTGGCTTTTCTGCAATTTCAAGGGGAAGACGCCAATCTTTAGGCAAATATTCTATTCCTTCACTTAAGCTCCTCATTTAATGGAGGCCCAATTCGCAGAGTGGGAGAGAATAGCTTAAAATCAAATATATGTAAGACGGGGCTT